GGTCAGAAGAAGAATTTTCTAAGAAGAGAGACTATCATCTGCAAAGGCCCTTAGGGCAGGACAAACGTAGCTGTGAAGACTACAGCGAAGTGCTGTACACACTCATTAGTCATCACTGTCTGAAATAACTTATTCGTTTATTTGTTATTTTCCACCCACTAGAATGCAAACTCCATGAAGACAGGGACTTATCTGGCTTATTCACGACTTCAGTCTCAGAAGCTCACACAGTGTCTGGCAGATAGTATAACCCAATCAACACTTGCTAAATGAATGAATGAATGACTTCAACTTTTGGTTTACTAATACTTTTTTTGTTTAATTAACCAGGGCCTGTACTGGATCCTGGGGCTAAGAGAGGAATGGAGCATATATTCTCCCCTCTAGGGAGCAAGGGAGCTCACAGACCTCTAGGGGAGAGAGATGTCCCCAATAGATGGTATAAAACAATGCGGAGAAAACAGTGATAGAGCTACACTTAGGGTTTTATAGCGGCATAGATGAGGCTCCTAATCCAACCTGGTGGGTCAAGGAAGGGGCTGGGCCTTAAAGGACAAGTGGTACTTTGACAGGAAGAGTGGTGAGGGGCATCCCAGGCAGAGAGAGGAGAGGGCATCAGGGCAAGAAGGAGCCTAGCGGCGTGGGAGAACCATCTATAAGTTCTGAGTTGCTGTAATGTGAACCATGATGATGTAGGGGGCAAAGAGACAAGGCAAGGCTACTAAGCAGGGATCACACAGGAGAGAGTCTTGAAGGCCAGAGTAAAGTGCTTGGACCTCTTGTGGCTAGCAGCCCCCAGACAGTTTTGTTCGTATGGGATTAGTATATGCATATTAGCAAATATTCCATTAGCTAATCTCTCAAGGCACAATATACACGTAGGATAAGATTTGACGTTAACAATAGAGCATGTAAATTTACATTTCAAAGCAACTTTTTGATAATTTTTTCCTCAAATATTATTACATTCCCCACAACATGACTGACAAGGACAAGAGTTCATAGTAGGAGAAGGAGATCTGTCAGCTTTGCCCTTTTCTATTTGTTTACTGTACTGGTATAATTTTAGCATTATCTAGAACCTGTCATGTCTTTGCAGGGATATTTTGAAGCCACTTGTCTGTTTTATGGCGTCAACATAGGAAAACCAGACAATGTGATCCTTATGTTCACTTAGCCTGACAGAGATAGATGAGAGATGTATTGCAGAATGCTGAGAGGGATGAGTGAGGGCCCCACTGTCCACCCCTCTCAGGAAGCCTCTGCTACCTCACATGACACTAACGCTCAGTAGACATAGGTGAGAAATACTGACCAAGTGAGGGTTCCAGTGTCAATTCATTGAAAAGCTTAACTTCTTTTTCATTTTTAGGATAAAAAATGAATAGAAAAATGATCCCACCAGACAAGTATGCACTTCACTTTAGAGACCACGGCTTTAGGCAACAGGAAGCTAGTGAATGTATTCAAGCAGGAGAAAGATATGGTCAAATTTGTGCTTTCCAAAGATTACTGTGGCTATAGGGTGGAGGATGGATGGGAGGCAGTGAGGCTGGATTCTGGGAGACCAGTGAGGAGGTTAGTGCAGTGGTCCAGGTGGTAGATGGGAAAGGATGGAATGAGGCCATTGACCAAGGGGGTGGGGAGGAGGGGATGGATTTGAGAGCTCATCTGATGGTAAAATGAACAGTCACTACGTGGACTGAGGTGCCAGCCAGTTGATGAGATGAAGCACTCAAGAGATAGAGGGAACAAGATAAGGGTGCCCACATCTGCCTCTTCCATTTACCATTGTACTGGAGGTCGATCCAGTGCAGAAAGGCAAGGGGGGAAAAGGTGTCAGGATTGGAAAATAAGAAACAAAATTGTCATTACTCACACATGGTAAATTGTGTATATAGTCAATACAAAAGAATTTATAGATGAGTGAAAGAATTTAGCAAGGCTTCAAGATAGAAGGTGCATATACTAAAAGCAATTGCATTTCTATACATCTGCCAAAATATCTAAATATTAAATATTTAAAAGGATAAATTTAAAGTAACATAAAAAACATCTAGAAATAAATCTAACAAAATAAATTTGGGACCTTTATGAGCCCTGGTAACGCACTGGTTAAGAGCTATAGATGCTAACCAAAAGGTTGGCAGTTCGAATCCACCAGCCACTCCTTGGAGACCCAATGGGGGCAGTTCTACTCTGTCCTATAGGGTTGCTATAAGTCGGAATTGACTCAATGGCAATGGGTTTGGTTTTATGGAGAAAATTATAGAATTTAAAGAAGTTCTAAATAAATGAAGATTACACACACACACATAAAATCTCAGAGAAACGTCTAATGTCACGTAAGAGTCCCTGGGTAGCACAAATGGTTAAGCAATGAGCTACTGACTGAAAGGTTGGTGGTTCAAACTCACCCAGAGGTGTTTCTGAAGAAAGGCCTAGACATCTGCTTTTGAAAGTCACAGCCATGAAAACCGTATGGAGTGCAGTTCTACTCTGAAACACATGGGGTTGCTATGAGTCAGAATTGACTTGACAACAACTGGTAATGGAATATAATTAACCGATCAATTGAGGTCCTATCAGTGGTGTGGATCCTAAACCTAATCACTTCTGAATTATAAGAAGACCAGAATAGACACAGAGATACAGTAGGCATGTGAGGATGGTCTACAAGCAAAGGAACTCCAAGAATCGTTGGTAAATACCAAAAACTATGAGAGAGTCTCACAGAAGGAATTCACATGGCTAAGACCCTGATTTGGACTTTTAGCTTCCAGAACAAAGAAAATAAATTTCTGTTCTTTAAAGCTACCTACTTGTGGTTTTTCTGTTATGGCAGCAGTAGATAACTAAGACAATAACCAAACCTATAGGACAGAGTAGAACTGCCCCATAGGGTCTTCAAGGAGCAGCTGGTGGGATTCAAACTGCCAACTTTTTGGTTAGCAGTCAAATGCTTAACCACTGCGCCATCAGGGCGCCAACTAAGACAACAGGCTTTCTAAAACAAGACAAAAATAACTCATCTTAAAGAAAAAGATAAATCTGACTACAGTAAAACTAAAAACTTCTATTCATCAAAAAACACCATAAAGAAGTTGAGAAGACGAGCTACAAACTGGGAGAAGATATTTGTAACACATATAATTAGCAAAGGACTAGTATCCAGACTCTGTAAAGAACTATTAATTGAAAAGAAAAAAAAAAAAAACACAAACCACTTATCTTTAAACAGGCAAAGACATGAATGGAACTTTTACAGAGAGTACAGCACAGATGGGTTGTAACACATGAATAGATACTCAGCCCCATTAGTAATAACGAAATGCAAATTAAATCCACAATGAGATGCCATTTCACACCTACCAGCTCGGCAAAAAATAAAAATCTGATAATAGAAAGTGCTAGTAAAGACAAATAATAATAATATTTTTTATCCACTGCTGGTGGGAGTGTAGACTTATGCACTTTGGAAAGCTAAGTTGTACACGAGTATACCCTATGATCAAGCAATTTGACTCATATATACTAGAATGTTAGAGCAGCATTGTTTGCAGTAGCAAAAAACTGAAACACCCCAATGCCTGTCAACAATAAACTGTAGCATATTCATACAATGGAACATTATACAGAATGAAAATAAATGAACCTCAGCTACACTCATCTACCTACATGTATGAATCTCAAAAATAATCTTGAGACAGAATAACAAGTTGCAGAACAATATACACTGTATCATTTCATTTATACAGAGGCAAAAAACAGTCAAAATTAAATACTATATTGTTTACGGATACTCACATAAGTAGTAAACCAAACTAGTTGCTGTGGAGTGGGTCCCAACTCATGGGGAGCCCATGTGCTCCATAGGGTTTTCAATGGCTGTGATGTTTCAGAAGTAGAGGTACCTGAGTGGCTTCCAATCGCCAGCCGTTCAATTAGTAGCCAAGTGCTTAACTGTTTGCACCACCCAGGGATTCTATTACACAGGTAGTAAAACCTATTAAGGAAAAGCAAAGGAATGAAGGCAAAATTCACTACAGTATTAACACTGGGAGTGGGGAAAAGGGACAGATGATAGAGAAGGGAAACAGGTGGCTTCGGGGGTAAGGCAGTTTTGATTCCACATGGATGGACTAGATACAAGTGATCACCACAGCCGTTAAGTGTGGGTGAGATGGCCCAGGACAAGGGAGCAGAGTAAGAGGAAAGAGGAACATCAACCCTTGAAGGTGCCTGGAGGAGGAGGAGGAAGCTGCTAAGTCCAGAGGCTGAATCGCTTGAACAGTGGGAAGAGTCAGGAAATTGGCAGCCAACAGTGTGGTCAGGAGTACCGTGTGTATCAGGGAGATAGGTCAGGGTGCAGGCTGCGGCTTTTGGATTCAGCCAGGTTCCCCGATGACCTTGGCTGGAGTAGTTTCAGATAGTGATGTCATCAGGGTGGTGTGGTTGCAGACCACACCGGGTGACACTGTCAGAGGGGGTGACACCAAAATGACTGTCGATAAAATTTTTGTGCAGTGTTTCAGCAGAAATTTATTTTTTATAAAAATATCCCTGAAGTTATAACAACAGAATTTTTTTTTGTAAGCCCAGTTTACTTGTATCAATATATCTACAAGGCTAAAACTCTATGCTAACTTACTTTTTGAACCTTCTAAGGTGCTCAGTCAGAGCTTTCATTATTACCCAATTACAACAATGATGCTTTGAATCACATGGTTCCATCTGCAAGGGCTACAAGGACCTGCTGTTGTTTTAATTGCTACTGGTGTTTTTATAGTTCTTGATTTTGTCAAATTTTCTGGTATTTTAGCTACAATATTGTTGTAATTAGCATGGGGGTGGTGGTGACATCAATCCTAGTGACGCTACTGGTTTCAGAGAAGACCTGGGGGTGGAAGTCATACAGCTGAGGACTGAATGGGAGATGAGAAAGTACAGACCCAGAAGGGAGGTTACTCAAAAAATGTGAGGAGAGGAAGAACATGGGATAGCAGCTGGAGGATAAGGAAGTAGGGGAAATCCTTGAGAGACGTTAAACGGTCTTCACGAGGCCAATTAAAAACACGATTTTAAACATCAAAAGAATACTATGAATTGTTTAATGATTTATACATATGTAGTAAAAGTATAAAGAAATGCATACAAATATACCTAAATTCAGGATAGTGGTTACTTGAGGGGCAGAGAAGGTCCGAGATGTGCTAGGTACCTGACAGATTGCAGCTTTCCTTAGAGTCTACGTGGTAGGTATCATTGGCCCATTTTACAGACAAGGAAATTGAGACTTGGGGAAGTGAACTGGCCAGAATTCTAGTTCCACTCGGTTTTGACGTCGGATTCACCAGCTGAACGAATGAAAGGACGGCCTCGGACTCGCTCTCCAGGCCTCTCTCCGCGCGCTCTTCCAGGATTCCGTACTCGAGGTCGATAGACCGCACAGGATAAATCTGGACCCTCAGCTGCTTTTTTAGCCGAGATCAAAGTCCGTTCCTATCCCGCCCCGCGCATTGGGTCCCGCCCCGGGCGGTTGAGCCCCAGTGGGACTCATGAATATGCAAGTAAGAAGATATTTAAAGGCGCCGCCGCCAGGCGCAGATTCTTGCCCGGCGTCGCCCGCCCAGTACCTCTCCTCAGCGCGAGGCCCGGCCTCCTTCGCCCTGGATCTTCACTCCGTGCCGAAGCGCCGCCAGCATGTCGGACAAACTGCCCTACAAAGTCGGTGAGTCCCAGGACATTCAGCCCGCTGCTTCCGTTTTTCTCCAGCCGGAAGGCCTGTATCGCGCGGCGCTCGCTGGGTCTGCCCGGGGCTCCCAGGACCCCCTTGAATCGCAGGCTCGGCGCGACCCTGCTCACGCAAGGCCGCCTGGGGCTTGGAGTCCTGGCTCCGCAGCGAGCCGGTCGCCTGGGCCCGCCGCGGACTAGAAGTCTCGGCGTGGCCCGCCAGGCCCGGTGCAGCCGAGCAGGCTGCGGAGTGGCGGATGGGCAGCTTGTTTCGCACGGAGCCGGCCGGGGCGGCCTGGGAGAGCACACGTGGCCGTGGCCTGATACAGTTGGAGCCTGCTGGGACGTAACCTGGGGATACCAAATCCTGCCTCTTGGGCTTGGATCGGACCATGGCCAGCTGGGACAGTTGCTCACCTTTCGCTGGGCCTCTGGCAGGGGGGGCGAGGGAACTGAAGCCTTAGAAGGGCACATGATGAGAGGCCTGGAGAGCGGGGCCGAGGCCATGACTGGTCCACCCGCCGGGGACTTTAGGCTAATTACCCACTTGGCCAACTGGCACAGTTAGGCAGAGAATTTCGGGGTGGGGGGGGGGGGAGATGGAATGGTTAGAAAAAAATCCTTCTGCTCTCCCACGGATTGAAGGTTGATATACCGAGAGTTAACGTTTATTGAGCGTTTACTGTGGGATTGGCACTCCCTTCTAGCTTTATTCTAGATGAATCAGTTTCTTCTCACGGGTCTTTAGGGTAGTGACTATTATTTTTCTCAGTTTACAGATGAGCATACAGAGACACAGGAATAAAGATAACTTGCCCACGCTCTTGCAACTGGTAGGTGGTGAAGCAGAATTTGAATTCAGGCCGTTTAGGCCTCAGAACCCACTCTTCACCACTGTACAGAAGTACATTTATACTTGGAACAACTCTAATACTTTTAAGCAAAAAACAAAACCGGTTCAAGCTGTTCAGTTTTGTTTTAATTTTTTTTTTTATCGTACTTTAGGTGAAAGTTTACAGAACAAATATTTGCTCGTTAAACAGTCAGTGCACCTATTGTTTTGTGACATTGGTTAACAACTCAACATGTCAACCCTATGGGGTAGTTCTATTCTGTCCTGTAGGGTCGCTAATAGTTGGAATTAACTCCTTAGCAACGGGTTTGTTTTTCCTTTTTTTTGCTGTCATACTGGCTCATTTACTGTTCCTCCATCAAGAATATACCATGTTCTTTCCTGTTTCCAGGCTTTTGTTGAGCACCTACTATGTGCCAGGTATCAGGTGCCTGGGGAGGGACCTTTCAGGCTAAGGAAACTGCTTGGGTAAAATCCCTGAGGTGAGAATGAGCTTCTCACCTCAGCTTGTTGAAGATAGTAAGAAGGTCCTTGTGACTGAGCAGTGAGTGACGGGGAGATGAGGGTGGGGAAAGGAGTGGGCCCTGAGAGCATGTGATGAGTTAGGATTTTATTCACCGGCAAGGGAAGCCTTTTTTTTTTTTTTTTTTAACACTATAGAAGAGGAGTGGTGGTAATATGACTGACTTAAGTTTTAAAAAGCATGTCTGGCTGCTGTGGGGAGAATGGTAGGTGGAAGCAGGGAGATGGAGGAGACCGCTTTTCTTGTTCAGCTGAAAAGTGGTTTGGACAAGGGTGGTGAGCCACAGTTGGATTGCGTATGTATTTGGGACGTGGAGATGACAGCGTGCTGATGGGTTGGCAAGGGATGAAGGGAAAAGAGGAATCAAGAAATCTTCTAAGTTTTTGACCAGAGCAACTGTTTGAATGGTGGTTTCTTTTCCTAAAATGGGAAAGATTGGGGGAGTAACAGGTTGAGGGACACAGGGAATCACGACTCAATGTTGACACAACCATTATAGATGCCAACTGGACATCCAAGTGGAGTTGCTGAGTAGGCAGTTGGATTTAAGTTTCAAGTTCAGGGGAGAAGTTTGGGCTGGAGAGAAATACGGGAAGGCATCACTGTATAGAAGGTTTTTAAAGGCATGAGACTGAATAAGCTCATCAGGTAAGAGAAAAGGGAGCCATGGAGCCCTGAGGGCACTCAAACAGTAGAGTCTGTTAGAGGAGGAGGCCAAGGCAGGGAGGTAGGCGGAAAACCACGTGAGGACAGTCATAGAAGCCAAGTAAAGGAAGGGTTGGTTTCAAGAAGTAAATGAACGGGAATCGGTGAGGCTGTCAGCATAGATAATTGACTGTTAGATTTGACAATCAGGTCGGTCTTTGGACACCTGAGAAAAGCAGTTTCCGTGGATTAGTGAAGTTCTCAAGGAGGTGAGAGAATCAGGCCAGCTCATCTACTGTAACAGAATAGAATGCCCAGTCTGTAGCTACACAGGAGGAGGACTGGTGGATTCCATGGAGGGAAAGTGGCATAGTTCTGAATTCTCAATGAATTGCAAAGTGAGGTTGTCTGTTGACCCTGAAAAGGTACTGGAGGTTTGGGGAGAGGAGAAAGGAGAGTAAATTTACCAGGAGAATGTAATTGGTCTGCTGGAGTGTGCTATGTGTCCCTTTGAGATTTGTGGTCAAATTTAAAGAGAGCTGTTGGTATGGTTGTGATTTTCCTCCTGCTGGGTTCCATGGCTTAGTGCAGTGGAGGGTTGGGTTTAACTAGGGTGGAGTTTTGCTAAGCAAGTTCTCAAAGGGGAAGAGGGCAAAGGGGTTTGTGAAGCCTTGGTGATTGAGGGTGTGGATGGAAGGCAGTGGAATTCTAAACTGGAAGGAAGGAGGTGAGAGTATTGGGGAGGGGGCTGATGCAGGACAGGAAATTGGTAGATTTAATGGATTCAAGGTTCTCACGGGCTGCAGCCTCGTTGGAGCTGGGGCTGTAGAGGGACTCTAGATGGAGCATGGCCAGAGTCAGGTGCTTGAAATCAATATTTGCAAGAGACAGCCATGATCAGTGATGGCCTATCAAAGTGTGCAGTGGGAGTGGACCCTGCCGAAGGGGAGGAATATTTCATCTCTAACGTTTTTTAGATGCATAGTTGAAAGCAGATTGGCTTAGTCAGTTTTATTGTTTTATTATCCTTAACTGAGAATTCTCTACAGAGAATACCCTCCTGCCCCCACCCCGTTGGGTGATTATCAGCATCTAAGCTTAAAGAGAAAAATCACCAGGAGTCCCAGGCCCTGTCCTAAACCTATTGAATCCAGTTTTCCAGGGAAGATTTACAAGCTTGCCAGTGGATTTTATCATTAAGGAAGTTTACAAACACTGACCTAGGGACTGACCTTCAGAATGGACCACTGAGGTGGGGGAGGGAGGAGGCTGAGATCATTGGAGGAAAGAGTATGGAGATAGTCCTGCCTCAGTCGTGGACAAATTTGAGACATTTGGAGTGGTAGACAGAGGCTAAAACATAACCTTTATTACTAATAACGTCTAAGCCAGAAGACATAGATTAGTGTGAAAGACCAATGAGCCTGAAAACTGAACCCTACAATTCAGCAGTTACCTACCAGTTATAGGTAAGCCTGGCCAGGGCCGGTCTCTCTATGTGGAAGAGCAGAGAACACCTGCCTCTTGAAGGCAGGCCTGCTGGCACTTGGAAAAGAAGGGGAGAGCTGAACTGAGCATGCCCAGTTTATTCCTCCCAAGTATCAGACAAGTCACTCCACCCCCCGTGGGGCAGAGAGAAGCCAAGAGTGTTACACTGATGAGCTCCCTGTGTGTGGAAAGAAACATCAGGAGTGGGGAAGAAGCATTTTCACATCTTCAAGGAGGTCAGGGAACTTAGAATCCAAGGTGTTAGATCGTATCATCTACGGGTGTTGAAGTCACCAGGAGTGATGATGACTTGGAGAGGAAGATGGAGAGTCAGGAGCTTAAAAATCTTGAACAAATAAGGAGTGACCTGGAGGTTGGTAGGTATCAGCAAAAAGGATAATGGGAGGTATAGCCTGATAGCTGTTTTTCAAAGGGGCACTTATCTAGGTTGTAATGTTCATGTGATTATTTAATTAAGTATGTTCTCCCATAAGGCTGTAAGCTGCAGTTAGGCAGGGACTATGCCTTTTTTTTTTTTTTCAATTGTACTTTAGGTGAAAGTTTACAGCTCAAGTTAATTTCTCATTCAAAAATTTATATACATTTTGTTTTGTGACGTTAGTTGCTGTCCTTGCAATGTGACAGCACACTACCCCTTTCTTTTTTTTGGCTTTAACAAAGACAAATTCATTCTCTCACAGTTTAAGAATCTAGAAGTTCAAATTCAGGGCAGTAGCTCTAGGAGAAGGCTGTTTCTCTTTTTCGGATGTGCAGGAGGGTCCTTCTCATCAGACTTGCCCTGGTGTAGGAGCTACTCAGCACAGGGATCTCTGGTTCAAAGACACACTCCCCCTTTCTACCCCGGGTTCCTTGTGTCCATTTGACCAGTTCCTGTCCCTTCCTGCCTTCTCCTCCTGGTTTTGGGTAGGAGCTGCCCATTTGATCTCGTATATCTGATTCAACTAAGAAGCACATTCCTCAGGTGTATTATTTTTTGTTTTCTAGTCCTGTCTAATCTTTGTCTGAAGAATGGGCTTTGGGAATGGTTTCAGTTCTGGGTTAACAGTGCATCTGGGAGCCATAGTTTCAGGGGTTCCTCCAGTCTCTGTCAGACCATTAAATCTGGTCTTTTTATGTGAATTTGAGTTCTTTTCTACATTTTTCTCCTGCTCTGTTGTGTTCCCTGTCAGGGTAGTCATTGGTAGTAGCTGGGCACCATCTAGTTCTTCTGGTCTCAGGCTGGTAGAGTCTCTGGTTCATTTGGTCCTTCAGTCCTTTGGGCTAGTACTTTCCTCGTGTCTTTGGTTTTCTTCATTCTCCTTTGTTCCAAGTGGGATGGGACCAATTGATGTATCTTAGATGGCCACTTGCAAGCTTTCAGACCCCAGACACCACTCTCCAAAGTGGGATGCAGAACATTTTCTTTATCAACTATGTTATGCCAGTTGACCTAGATGTCCCCTAAACTATGGTCCCCAGGCCCTAGCCCCAGCTACTCTGTCCCTCAAAGTGTTTGGATGTGTCCAGGAAACTTCTTTGCTTTTGCTTTGGTCCAATTGTGCTGACTTACCATGTATTTTGACTGTTGAAGCCCTAGGGCCCTGGCTCCATGAATAGTTGTTGAATGAGTAAGAGAATACAGGGACTAGATTGCTAAGCCTTTGTGTTTTGAGTCCACAAGTAGCTCAGGGTCTTCACACAGTGAGAGTGTTTCATGGTTAGTGGGATGAGGTAACTCACGGAACTTCCATCCGTCTTGCCTCTGTAGCTGACATCAGCCTGGCCTCTTGGGGACGCAAGGCCCTGGACATTGCGGAGAATGAGATGCCGGGCCTGATGCGCATGCGGGAGATGTACTCAGCCTCCAAGCCACTGAAGGGTGCCCGCATCGCTGGATGCCTTCACATGACTGTGGAGACAGCTGTCCTCATTGAGACCCTCATTGCCCTGGGTGCTGAGGTGAGGCCCACAACTGTGTGACTCCGGACAAGTGCCTTGCCCTCTCTGGAGTCACCCAGGGTAGAAGAAAACAGTGTAGGGATGGGGAGAAGTCCAAGTGTGGTGCTGACCTCCAAACTTGTCATTTGGGTTTTCTCTCTCATCTCCCAGTTGAGTTGAATCAACTCGATGACAATGGGTTTTTTTATATGTGGGGTGCATCTCAAATGAGGAAGTAGAGGCTCAAAGAGTTGAAATGATTTGCCCAGGGTCACACAACTAAGCAGACAGGTTTTCTCCCTGACAGGGAAGATGGCCTCCGACTGCCCCCAATTCACATCCTCCTGACTGAGGACCTCAGCAGGAAAAACTCAACTCCAGCGTCCCATTTAGCTATCTAAGGACTGATTCTCATTGGTTCTTGTTGGGTCATGTGCCTGTCTTGGAGCAATCATAGTCGCTGGAAGGATGGAATGCTCTGATTGGTTCAGTCTGGGTCATGTATACCAATGATTAAAAGCTCTTCCAAGCTCTCAGGGAGTTGAGGGGTAAGGTGGTTCCTCAAAGGGGAGGCGGATGCAGGGCAGCCAAAAACAACAGTACTTCAAGGCTCAGTGCTTAGACTGCTGCTTTCTTTTTAACATTCACTTTCTTGGTGGTCTAGTTTTATGGCTTAAATACTGTCTATACTGTGATGACTCCCAAATAATATGTACTAGCCTGGACTTCTCCCCAGAACTCTAGACATATGTATATCCAGCTGTTGATGCGTCATCTCCACTTGCAAGTCTAAGACATCTCAAACTGAACAAGTTCAAACAAACTCAAGAGGATTTCCTCCCTGCCGCTTCCACCAGTCTTCCCCAGTCAGTAAATGGAAACTCCAGCCTTGTGGGTTCTGTCCGTTCAAGAACCTAGCAGTCATCCTTGACTCCTCTCTTTCTCTCTCACCCCACAACTAATCCCTCAGCAAATCCTGTCAGCTTACCCTTCAGAATATACCCAGAATTTGACAGCTTCTCATCACCTCCCCTGCTCCTGCCACATTTCTCACCTGGACTCTTGTAACAGCTTCTTCACTTGACTCCTTTTTCAGCCCTTTCCCCCTACAGCTTGTGTTCCTCACAGCACCAGAGTGATGTTTTAAGACATAACTCAGATCTCACCTGCTTTGGCTCCCATCAACTCACCCAGGGTCACCAGCCTATAGTTGCAAAGCCAGGGGGGCCTAGATCCCAAGTCTCTCACCCCAGCTCCAGGGCTTTCCCCTTTCCCTGCCCAGGGGCCCTGGTGCTTCTGAGCCATCAGTGACCAGCAGCCCTGTCTTGCTGGCTCTTCTAGGTGCAGTGGTCCAGCTGCAACATCTTCTCCACCCAGGACCATGCCGCAGCTGCCATTGCCAAGGCTGGCATTCCAGGTGAGTCCTGCTTGATACCGGGGTTGTGGGAATGTCGGAAGGGACTCTGCTTCTCCTTGTTTATTCCACTGACTCCTGTAGCAGCACTGCAGGCTTCACTATGGCAGGGGAGAGGAGCCGTGGCCACAGAATCCATAGTAAAGAGCTGTTTTGTCCCACTTTCATTTAAAGTCCTATGGAGGGTGAATATTGGCCCATCCCAAGTCATGTGACCAGGAAGGGTAGAATCTTATTATTGGGAACCACAGGATATGGAGGGGAAGTCGCTTAAAGGAAAGATGTGCGTCTGCTCCCTGAAGAATTGGGGAGGCGTATAAACAGAAAAGAGCCCCAAAGGTCATTGCCTGGGTTCTGGTGGTCTGGCAGGCTGGAGGAGGACCGGGATTAAAGTGGAAGGACTTTTACAAGCTGCTGGAGAAATGAGCACATGTCTGCCTGAGCTCGGGGTATAGATTGGTTAGTTCTGATGGTAATTAGATAAGATACTCAGGATTCCATTTAACCAGGGACAGGTGGAGGGTGGAGGGAGGGAAGAAGGTGGAGAAGGACTCCTCCAGAGACTGACCAGGGCTGGACAGGCATCTCCCCCATTCCTCAGCTTTGTTTTGGCTCCATGGCCCTCTTCTGGGAGAGGCCTTGTTTTCAGGACTATTGTCTGCCCCAGTTAGGAGGTAGGGTGGCTGTCCCTGCTTGGCCAGCATCCTTTGCTCACCAGAGGCTCATGGAAGCCCTCACACCTGTGTCCCAGTCATATCATATGATGGGAAGAGCCTGGTCTGGAGGTCAGGAGCCCTGTGTTCTGCTGCCCACTTTGGAATGCCATGATGAGTGCCCTGGGCCCATCTGAGCCTCTCTGGCCATCTGTAGCTGATGATGATGGTAATGCCTGTCTTGCAGGGTTTCTGTGAGGAGAAATGAGATGGGGCATGAAGCAATTTTGAGTAATGGCTGGCACAAAGTACTCCACGCATAATAGCTGCTATTAATAATTTTCTGACAAGACTTAGCTTGGGACTGCCCACTGCAGAGGCTGCTGGGCACTTAAGTCCTTTCAGTGCAGAATGAACCCTGGATCCTGCCTCGTGGGTCCCACTGAATATGACCCCCACCCCTGCAGCTCCCTTACGCCAGCAGCAGGCATTGTGGATGGAACGCTGGCCACTGCGGGTAGATGTTCCAGTCCTTGGGACCCAGGCAGAACGGGTAGGAAAGGAAAGAACTATTTCCAGATACTTACATTTGGAGCCCTGGTGGGACAGTGGTTAAGAGCTACAGCTGCTAACCAAAGGGTTGGCAGTTCGAATCCATCAGCTGCTCCTTGGAAACCCGGTGGAGCAGTTCTACTCTGTCCTGTAGGGGTACTATGAGTTGAATCAACTCGATGACAATGGCTTTTTTTATATGTGGGGTGCATCTCAAATGAGGAAGTAGAGGCTCAGAGAGGTGAAATGATTTGCTCAGGGTCACACAACTGGTGAGTAGCAGAGCCAGGATTTGAACTTGGATCTCTCTGGCTCCAAATTGTGTTGTTAGCACTGCTAAGTCCTTAGAGGGGCTGGAGGTGTTGGGGATGGGAATTAGGAAGGAGATGGTATTGACTGCCAGGTGGCTCCCTGGAGCAGGAGCCGGTGGGGAGGGCCAGATCTGATATGTCTCTTGCCCTTCAGTGTATGCCTGGAAGGGCGAAACAGACGAGGAGTACCTGTGGTGCATCGAGCAAACTCTGTACTTCAAGGATGGGCCCCTCAACATGATTCTGGACGATGGCGGTGACCTCACCAACCTTATTCACACCAAGTACCCGCAGCTCCTGTCAGGTAAGCATGGTGGGTGGGTGGGCTGAAGGCTGGCAGCCTGAATGGGACCTGCCCACCCAAACGCAGGCAGCAGGGCTGGCAGGACTCCCAGTGCCTTAAGCAGCAGATTCTTGGAGGATGGCAGGGGCCTGCAAAGTGCTGTGGCCTGGCCTCCTGACTTCTGATGGTGTAGGGCTAGAGCAGCTGGGGGAGGCCTGGCTGAGATTACAGCCCAAGGGCTAGGACAAGAGCTGGGCCCAGCACTGCTAGAAAGGAGCCACCTTTGTAAAAAGCAGGAGCAGGAATGGGGCCGGAAAGGATTGACTATTCAGGAAACAGGAAGCCAGTGAGGCAGTTATGAGTGAAGGGAGCCAAGGAGTATTATAGGATGTGGCTGGAGCTTTAGTGAAGACTAGAGTTTGGCTTGATCCTGTGAACAAGAGTAAGTAATTGAAGGGTTTTGAAAATATTTCTCTGAAAATGTACATGTTAAAAATGACTGGTGGTGGTGAAGGTTGCACAACGTAGTGAATATAATTAACATCACTGAATTGTACATGTAAAAAGGGTTGAATTTACAGTTTTTGTTTTTTTTTTTTACTCTTTTTTTATTGTAGTTTAGGGGAAGGTTTACATAACAAATATTTTCTCATTAAACAGTCAGTACACATATTGTTTTATGACATTGGTTAACAACCCCACGTCATGTCAACACGCTCCCTTCTCGGCCTTGGAGGACCCTTGTTTTTCTTGCTGAAAATATACATAGCCAAAGTTACACCATTTTAAAAATTTCTACATGTACAATTCAGTGACATCGATTACATTCTTCCAGTTGTGCTGCTATTCTCACTTCAGATGAAGGTTTACAGAACAAAATAGTTTCTCATTAAACAGTACATGTGTTGCCCTATGACAATGGTTAAGAACCCCACTACATGTCAACACTGTCCTTACTCAACCGTGGGTTCCCTATCACCAGCTTTCTTGTCCCGTTCTGCCTTCTAGTCCTTGTCCCTGGACTGCTGTGCCTCATTAGTCCCATTTTGTTTTATGGGGCTGTCCAATCCCCGGCTGAACGGTGAACTCGGGAGTGACTTCACCACTGAGCTAAGAGCGTCTGGGGGCCATACTCTTGAGGTTTTGCCAGTCTCTGTCAGGCCAGTAAATCTGGTCTTTTTTTAAAAATTTATTTTATTTTTTATTGTACTTCAGGTGAAGGTTTACAGAACAAATAGTTTCTCATGAAAGAGTAGTACACATATTGTTTTATGACATCGGTCAACAACCCCACGACATGTCAACCCTCTCCCTTCTAGACTTTTTTTT